TAAACAGGGGGAGAGGGAGAGAGAGAGAGAGAGAGAGAGAGACGCAAGATGAAAACCAGGTAAATCCCGAACGCGACATTAATGAAAGATAGAACCATGAAGAACAAGTTCCGGATATGAATCCGGTTGGCGTGTGACCCGACCGGTTTCAGCTGGTCGCCAATACCAGTGCTCATCAGGGGCCTTAGTCGGTAGGGAACTATACTATAGGTTCCTATTTATCTTGCGTGAGGCCAGTCTATAGAGTTTCCAGAAGATACTAAAGGGTACCTCAGAATATCTAAAAGATCTACGCCACACGTCTCAGGTTCAAGGCCAATCTGAAAACCGACTACACATAGTGAAAACACACCGATCGGAAACCGCAAAGATCCACTGTTCGAGACCATAAAAATGACCTGAAAAAATCCATCAATCGTACCACAACCAGGAAAAACAGACCCGGGACCGACTACAGAACCAAGGTACCTATCTACGTCAAAGGAGAACCACTCTGACCAAAGGCACTGCTACCACAAAGATCCACAGTTCAAGACTCCACAACACATCATCACGCAGAAAAGGGCAAAATTGGGGTCAGTTATACTACCGAAGTCCTGCCACTCTTGGGACGGGGGATGTTCCAACCCGTAAGTACCGGCACCCAATGCTGCCATATGCCCATGGTTGGGCCACGGCCGAGATGTCTTGGCCACACCCCAGACTGGCCACGGCCAAGATGTCTCGGCCACACCCCAGACTGGCCACGGCCGAGATGTCTCGGCCACACCCCAGATTGGCCACGGCCGAGATTCGCAGGCACTACCCTTCACAGGCAAACGCGAAGTCTCAAGAGTAGCCTACTCCCAAGAAGTGGGGGGCTTGAAGGATGAAGCGGGTAGCCGGCGACGTAGTGCTCTGCTCCCGTGACGCGCGTGCAATAGCGAGTTAGGGTTTCGGAGAAGCGCGGAGTTCACCAGCCATGCCCCGGAGCGCGTGGCCCGGGAAAGGTGGTTTACTCAGCTGTCAACCTTATGGTAGGTTGAGCACGAGGGAAGCGAGCTTGTCCAGGGAGAGGAAAGGAAGAGAGGGTATGGGGTGGGTGGAGATGGGATTTTAGAGCTTAGTCTGAACCTACACGAACAAACGGACCACATACGAGCCGAAGAACGCTGTTATAGCGTCCTTCCTATAGAATATGCGAAGTTCTTATTAGAAAAATCGCTAACGAGGGGCGACTTCAATACACACGAGGATTTGGGACGGTCGCTTCAGCAGGACACACAAGAATGTTGATTAGGTCCTGCCCAGCAGATCACAACAGAACGAAGGTTAGGTTCTGCCCAGCGGTCTGGAAAGACAGTACGAGTTTGGAAGCGACCTTGCTATGGAGTATGTGGAGTTCTTATGTCACCAGGGCACAGCAGAACAAAGATTTGATCCTGCCCTATGGAGTATGTGGAGTTCTTATGTCACCAGGGCTCCCAGGGGACAGTTCTCATTGAGAGAAATTTTTAACGAGGAGTGGACGGTCAATTCAGCAGGGCACAGCAGAACAAAGATTTGATCTTGCCCTGTGGGCTGGAAGACAGTACGAGTTTGGAAGCGAGGTGGCTATTGCCACAATCGAAAGGCGAAAAGTGGAGAAAGTGCCCTCGTTCTTCCCCTGAAAAGACGAGGTCGGCACGGCAGAAATCGAACCGTAGGGGAAAGCCATCTATGGTGGGGATCCTGGGTAGAGGTGTAGAGACTTCCACTGGAAGAGCGGCCCCTCTGCGAGGGGGGTGATGAGTTGGGGTAGAAGGAAAATACGAGTAGACAAATGGGTGTTTACTGCGGGGCAGAAAGACTCTTCTCCATATAAGGTACGCAAGCAGCTATGGTATTGCTATAGTAGGAGAAGGAGTAGAGACAGGGACCGTGAATGATGTTATTGTTGGAGCTTTGGGTGAAGTTGAAAAGGGAGACTCCTGAAAAGGAAAGGAAAAGTAGGGAAGCAGAAGGGGTGGCAGGGCATCTCGTTCAGCAGATCTTGACGACAAGGCCTCAATCTCAAGGATCTTGCGCCAGTTCGAGTCCTGGGTCACAGCATGGTATCTCCTGTTCACTCCACTTTCGCTGCTGCTTAAGCCCCTATTCTCACGTTTGCTGATCTGGCCTTTTATTAAGAGCTTCAACCTTACTAATAGAGTCCGCGGCTCGCCAATAGAAAAAGAGGGAGAAGAGATTATCTTTACATTTTTTAGTTGCTCGCTGGTAGGAGATATGAGGTACCAGGTGACGGATAATGCAAGCTTTCCCCGTTCTTTTTTTTTTTTTTTTTTAATCAGTTCAAAAAGTTTTTTTTTTTTTTTTTTTTTTTTTTTCCACCCTACTGTAAACATGAAAGATTAATGCACTGACACGTAAGCACATGTGTGCTGATTTGGCTTTTTAATACTGTCAGTTGGCAAGCCCTTCTGCTGATCAAATCTGGTTTTTTTTTTTTTTTTTAACCTGTCCCGTGAGCCTGATCTCACGGTTTGTGCTCTGTTGGCAAGCCTTTCTGCTGATCAGATCTACCTTTTTTAAGTTGTGTGAACCCGTCCCGTGGTGCCCTACTATTTGGTTGCCCAGTGAGCGCCTGATCGCACGGCTTTTGCTTCATCATATTGTCTGTTGATAAGCCTTTCTGCTGATCACATCTGCTCTTTAACCTGTCCCTTGCTGCCCCACTCCGAGGGGCCCTACATGCGAACTTCAAAGTGATTTTAACGCGCTTTTTGCCAAAGAATCAGCGGCGGACTCCCCATGGAGTTCAACGTGTGGTGCTGGAACTGCGGATGTGAACTAGAATGGGCCTGTGTGATAGGGCAGTGCCATCAGAACGATCGGCCTCAAAACCGTGATGGTGGGGTTTTGAGAGGGAAAGGTGTTGTAGAAGCTGGGGGCCTGGGAAAGTGTGAACAAAAGGTAAGTCAGGTGGTGAACGGTCAAAAGGATGAACTTCGAGGAGAACATCATCATGAAGGTCAACAAGAGGGTCTTCAGGATCGTAATGATGATGATGATGATGATGATGGCTATACGAACCATTGGAATGAGTGGAGATGAAGAAAGGGAAGATGATAATGCAGGTATGGGTCGTACAGTTTTTTGGAAGAGAAGTGAGGACAGGAGAGTGGATATCAAAGATTCTGGGGACACCAAAGGCAGTGAGCAGAAGGAGAGAGAAGACAACAGGGTTGAAAATGCTCGAATCTGGCAGGGGAGGAGATGGGATTGGAGAATTCCTTGGTGCACAGAGAGAGAGAGAGAGAGAGAGAGAGAGAGAGAGAGAGAGAGAGAGAGAGAGGGTACGGGTGGAACTGATGGGGGGGGGCTCGCCCACCATGAAGCAGCCAAGCAAGTAAATAAGTAAAATGTCCCCAAGCCCTGTCTTCAGGACATTATCCCCCAACACCACGAACAGTAATGAACAAATCTGAACCTCTTGGACAGTTGCTGGCCAGAGAATGGTAGAGAGGTACACATAGACCAGTTTAGATGGATACAGCTGGCGCCTTCTAGGTGAAGAGGTCTGTGTAGTCTCTCCTTCCGGTAGGATGGTCCGGCCTGAGAACTGATTGTTTTAAAGACGACTCTGATGTATTAGGGGACGCTGGACCTGGTTTCCAGCAAGTGCAGCTCCCCACGAATAGATCCATCGAGAAAGTACGACTAGTCTTAATGATGAAAAAGGCGCGGTAGGTATTGGTACTTGAGCCTACTTGAGTCACTTGTTAAGCTAAACCGGCTGATGCTGCCGGGATAACTCCTGGTTGAATTGTGAGGTCCCCGGCCTCTTCTTGATGTTGGAATATGTAATGGAAACGAAATTAAAAAAAAAAAAAAAAAAAGAAGTGGGGGGCTCGGGGCAGGGATGGAGGCCAAAAGAAGAAAAAAGAAAAAGAAGAAAAAAGAAAAAGAAGAAATAAAAAAGTAAGGAAACGAGGAACTTCGAATCCACCTACGTCGGGAAGGCCCTCACGTCACCAGTGCTTTGAGGAATGTATCTGGCCAGGAAGTAAGGAACATGAAACAGGTCGTTTTCCTTTTTTGTTTCTTGTTGTGAGGTCCCTGTAGCGCCCTGCCAGCCAGGCAGGGCGGATTCCACGCTTCATTGAGTTCTAGACAAGCACTGTAGCATCCTGTATGGGACCGCAATCACAGCATAAGGGATGCTTGATTTTTTTTTTTTTGTTTATCTGCTGCTCGTGGAATAGAAGAGTGTGCCGAAGTCACCCCAAAGAAAAAAGAAAAACAGAAAAATGGCCAAATAGCCCGAAAAAGAAAATTGGCGCCGTCCACCCACAAAAAAAGCGGGCGTGGTCGCCCCAACTCCAAGCACAAGGGCGACCGCCGCAGCGACCGGTTGGTCTTATGACAACTACCGCACCCTTGTGCTGCAGATTGCAGCCCTCTACGCGGCTCTAAGCCCCTAGACAGGTCGTCGACAATCCGCTTCTGCAAAAAATGCAACCGGGTATAGCGCAGGCTCCTGGCTGCGAATTGAAACTCGGGCCCTGACGAAGGGCCTCGCCACACCACTCTTGAAACCCGGTTTTCAAGAGTTGGAGCCGTCGCCACACAGCCACTTGAGAGTTGTGGCCCGAAAACTCTTTCGAGAGTTGTCAGAACCTCTTTTCGAGAGTAGTTCTCGAAACTCCTAAACGCCCAG